AGCTCAGAGACGAACCAGCCCGGGGTTGAAAGTCTCTTTAATAAAGAAATCGAGTATAATCTAATCCTAAAATCTTGAAATGAAAAAAAAAAAAAAAAAATTAACAAAATATAATTAACTATTGTGATACGGGGACACCATTGTAAAATTGGTTGGTTGGTGATAGATATCAGGAGAAATCTTGATAGAATTCATTATGAGATTCCAATGTTAGCTTTAACGAGTTTCTCTTTTAAAAAAAGTCGATTTTTCTGCAGTATTTTCAATTTTATTTAATTGACGTTCAATAGCATTCAGCATCACTTTTCAAACATACAAATCATAGGGTTGGAATGATTGTTGTCCTTAACTTGAAAGTAAAATTTTTTATTGAATCAATATGCATATATTTTTTTGAATATGGCTTGAATGTTTCCAATGTTAGCGCAACTGCATTTATAAAAAAAAATCCGTAATATCAGCTGAAAATTAATTTCGTACAAGCATTTTGGGAACTCAAACCTAATAAGAATATCTTATAGAAGGTCACTCGAAATTCATCATTATCAATTTCACCCAATATCTATATTTTACAATTTGATATTTCAAAAATGTCCAAAAACTAAACAAAACACTCCCCAGTCTGCGCCGTTTTGATTTTATGAGGCATAAAATCTTTGATCACACCTTCCTTTGGAAGGGAAGTAAAGCCGTTGGTCCCCGGTCTATGAGTTGGTGGGTTTAAATGTATGGTCCAGGTGTGGGAGCTGCCTCCCTCCACCCCGACGCGTCGGTAGCATTTGTACTCAGTGCGGAAAACAAGATTGATGGAAAACAAATCAAGAGAAAAAATATGCAAAACACTCATCGGCCAATAAATTTTAATATCATAAGTTTCAGAGTTGGTTGGAAATGCTATCTAACATGAAGATTTAGTGTGATAATTTATTAGCTAGAGAATGATCTTAGAAGATGGTAGGTGGATAGTTCCGTTAGAGTACGGCAGTATGAAAATTAAATAGAAGTTGAAAATGAGCGAAGGGCCATTAATACTACAGTACAAAGTCAAACTCACACTTTTTGCCTAACCCTTACGATGTACGTCCTACTAAGCACAACCCGCGCATTATCTCTCTTTTCTGAACGGGTTTGAACAAAAAATGGAATATTATTGTCAATGATGACTTCTAAATTAATTCACCTTTCCATACGTATCGTTGGATTTGATAAAGAGTCACAAATTGTTGAGATATTGTTTAAAATCTAATACTGCTTCTTGATTCTAAATTCGTCCTACGAGTTTCAATTCCGTCCTAACGCATTGAAACGCCATTAGATTTTATTCGTCCTACGGATAAACGTAGAAAAAGGGGATTCGCTAGGAGCGCTTCTTTTGTTTTGAGAACAATGAGCGTAACTATTCATACAATGCGCTCTAATAGGATTTATGTTGTAGCTAATGAACTAACGCATCGGAACAAACCTTTTATTGATTTGTGCACGGTGAAATCATTGATATTATTGATCTTTTTTCTGATTGATAGAACGGAAATGGGCGATTACGACGAAGTAGCGCTCTACCCTATAGTCGAAAGCGTAGACAGAACACGAAATAAAGACAAATAACTATTACATCGTCTGCGAGGTCAACTTATATCATTCGCTGCGGTATTTGCTGCGGAGGATGATAGAAAATGCAACTAACATTTAATGTATAGTCACAGACAAGCAGACATAACACTTGCAAGTTGTTCATCGAACACACATTTAACGGTCAATTTAAAAGTATCTTAGTTGGTAGTACCGCCACCTGCGGCGCGCATAGTCAATTCCTTTGCGTTTGACGTTTACACACTACCGCAATCTGTTCAGCGTACTAACCACCACGGTGTACTCAACAGATGGCGGTAATGTATTAGCTACGATGTTTTACAGTGAGAAATATTCAATGTGTTATGTCTGTTTGTCTGTGGTATAGTAATACATTTTAAGGTGATACTCTAAGGAAGCCTTAGCGTGAAACTTCAAAGGCACAAATGTCAGCTTCCACAAAACATACAAATTTTGAATTTCTACTCTCTGTTTGTAGTAGTACAGCAAACAAGGAGTACCAATTTCAAATTTGTATGTTTTGTGGAAGCTGACATTTGTGCCTTTAAAGTTACACGCTAAGGCTTCCTTAGAGTATCACCTTAATGTTTTTCATTTTTAATGTTTTACATTTTTACATACACACAATGAGATTGTTCACTATACCAAACATTTAAAATGTTATTTTTGAACAAAAGGATCCTGCCATGTAATCCTCATGGTAGGACTTAAGATTATTATTTGCTGACGAAAATGTAAGAAATTGCTTGTGAACAGAAATGCTACGCTTAATGCGCCTACGCATGGCATGTAAGATAAACTTGGTGTTTAGTACAAAAGATTTCCAGAATCTGTAATCAGTTTTGGGAAAATATCAAATCTTACCAAAGAACAAGATCACGTTTGATTTTCGTAAACAAAAATCAACATGCAAACAACTGCGGTTGATATTGCAAGCTGTGATATCGCAGCCCGAAATTTCAAGCTAACAAAACTTACCAGCTGCAAAACTCACCAAACCGTGGTGAGATTGAGATTCATGATTTTTTCTTTACACCCAAACGTAACCGAAATTTCCATAACGGCTGGCAGTAGCCGCTTCGTGTCTGCCATCAGTGAAGAGAAAAAAGAGAGCATTATTATACCTGCTTTTTCTAAAACACGAGACAGTTAGACAATAGATTTAGTTGTCACTTTGCCGCAACGCGTCCGATCCGGATCTAATGTGCGTGGGCCTTCAACTTAACGCGTTGGGAACCCGAACAAAGTCTGAATTCTAAATTTGATGTTGTGATTTCGCTGATAATGATTACTCAGGCATTGGCGTAGCTATTATGGGTGCCAGGGGGGCAAGGCCTCCTCCAGAATTATCTAGAGCCCCCCCAGAACTTTTGATGTTTTTTTTATTTATTCACTGATATTTTGTCAAGCTTGTCAAGTTCGATGATACTAATCTTTTTTAAAGTCCTTTATGTTGACTACTTTTCTTACGTTCTGGAATGTGAAATCACATTGAAAACTATTTCTGCTATCAGTGAGAGCAAACTGAAAACTAAATTTGTTATCCATTTTTTCTGTTGATAACAAAACAAGTATTCAATTTGAGGTTATGCTAAGGCAATGAAAACAAACCCGCAACAACATATCTCTGAAGAGCAAATGTACAGCAAAATTTAAACAAAATTAGGTATCAAATTTGTCAATTGCGTAAACTGAAATCAAATTATGATTTCAGTTTGATGCTGATATCAAAACTTGATTTCAATTTGTTGTCATTTTAATGCTGGAATTTGCTCGGGAATAGTCTCACAATATCAAAGGAGCTTGTAAAATCAATATCAAGCATGATATTTTGCTCCAATATCACGCGTGATATTGAGCGCGTATGAGAGCGGAAAAATATCAAAATTGCTAATGATTTTACCATCACTGTCTGTAATACATCATCATATTTGCAGATCCTGTGGACGTCGGAAGACTTTTCAAATATTGTATGTGGTTGGTTTCGGGGTTGATTGACTAGTAGCGTCACTTGTCATTCTGGCTTATTGTGTGTGTGTCATGAAGTGAGGGTTCCACTCCAGTCGTTAGAGCTTTTCATTAAAAGGAAACTAGGTGTGTTGTCCGTTGGTTGGTGCAATTTAGTAGCTGCATTTTCCAAAATTCAAGCCCAGTTTTATTCATTGCAATTCAGATGCAAAATGGAATTAGGAATCTAATGACGGCAGCTTTTAGCGATCTAAATGATGCGTCGATGAAAGGTGGAATTTATTTTTTGGAAAACTCACAAAAGTATTGCATCTTAAGTGTTCTACTACAATAGATCAAATTACTGGTCGCAGTGGTGTTAGGTCCCGAACAGAGAAAAAAAACTTACGTGTTCAGTCCGTGCAACAGCTTCACTAGTTGAAGGTGATGTTAATTGTGCTATGTGTTTTTTTTTAATATGATGTAATATAATATAATATGTAACAATGCATTATAATATTACATACATTATGAAATTATTGTTAGCTTAATAAAAGCTAGTTTGATTTACACCAATGATATAGGCCAGGTGAAGGTTTTGTACAAACATATTCATTCTGGATGAAGTTGCTTCTTCGCTGCGTCTCTTGAAAATAAATGCTACCACTTCATTCATTATGAACAATCCGATTGTTTTCCTAATGTCATGCAATAAGTAAATAATTGTTTTTTTTTTCATTTAATTATTGGTCTTTAGATAGGTGAGTTTGTTTCCCGGTCTGGTCTAGAAATTTTGTCAACATCTTTGAGCATAAATATTATTGTGCATACCATATAATTCATGCATTGATAGACTTAGTGGTGTAATAACTGTCTCTCACTCCAAAGGGCCTGGGTTCAATCCCAGTCGGCATCGTCGGAATTTTCTGAGACATAAAATCTCTAATCACGCCTTCCTTCAGAAAGGAAGTAGAGACGTTGGTCCATGAGTTTGATGGGTCGATAGTTAGGGTTCAAGTGTGGGAGCTACCTACCTGGCCATCGGAAGCATTGGTAGTCAGTACGGAAAACAATATCGACGGAAATCAAATGAAGAAAAAAAAAAACTCTGGAAGTACTTTAAAGAAAATTATGTTGAGAGTAGGCGTAAACTTGCGTAAGAGCGTTACATCCAAGATGAAAAATATGATCAGCTTATTATGTAAATATACGTTTAGGTGGTTGGAGTTTGAATTCGGTATGATTGGTAATCAAGGCTATTTTTTTTGCAAAGTTCGCGTATTTTTAGGATAATAGCTTACGCGTCACTGATTTGCTTGAGACTGAAGCTCTTCTATATGGTGTCGTTTACTTCGACGCAACGCTACATCTTATCGAAATATGTCAGTTTATGAGCTGCTTATCTTGAGATATTTTGTGCTTTGGCAACTAATCTTCTATAAATGAGAGTTAACGATGTTACTACCGATTCACAACCATTTTCTTCGAGGTGCTAATCAATTACGGGAGTGATGAAGTTTTTCGGTGTACTTTTGCTAGCGGTGATGAGCGTTCTAGCTCAGGCTGGGCCGGTTGGAACAAAGATAGGCGATAATGAAGTGTAAGTCTTGATGTATATTTTGCAAGGCGTGCAGGTGGCTTGACATCTATTACAAGCATAATATAGAATGATGAATGAAGGAAGTGAGACGTTATTTTTGATAAAGGTTTTTGCTACGATGGATTGCCGTTGGCGGGTATGGATTATACTAAAGGATGGAATAAATTAGTGCTACCATAAACTATTGACGCACCAAAAATGATTGAAAACCAGGATCAAATCGGCATTTGGAGTGTTTACGACATCTCTACTAAACAATCGAATGAAATCATCATGCTTAAAAAACTGAACTGAATTAAAACATGTTGAAGAGATACATTTTACCTAGAAGCAAGCGATAGACCGTTCAAGTTGGAGAATCTTTCCGGAATCTTTGGGACAAACACGGTGTCAATTGCTGTATAGAAAGTGAAGTATATTGAAATTGGATGGCAAACAGTATTTCCTGCCCAACTGTAGATGGATGGTAGGATGACTGATGTTTTCCTTCTTTGGTACAATTGTCTGACCGTGCAAAGGCCATCTTCGTCGAGCCGAGACAGGGATCGCCTTTACAACTTGCTACAACGATTCTTGATAATTACGCTCGGAAACTCGGTTCGTCCATTATCAGTAAAGTTCAATGTATTTAATTACCTCAAATGATTTATTCCCAGTGCAGTCACCTCAGCTCCTGTTAAAGAAATGGGGGTGTGGTGAGGAAAACTTAACATTTAACCACTGCACTACATTTGGCAAACTCGCTTAAAAAAAAAGAATTCTGGCAATGGCCGTTCATATTCTCATCAATAATATTACTCAAAATAAATTATGCAGTCATGTTCCTTGTATCGTAAAGGAAAAAAAAATGCATCTCTAGCGTTCAGAATCATGGTTTGCCTTGACAATGACTGTTAGCTCAAATGAGTGACCAAAGCAGAATTTTGAATATCGCCGTGTATTGTTGGGATTTTGCAGCACTGATATCAAGCATTTTGATTTTCGAACTCATCTTCAAATAAATTAATGTGATTTCATGTTTAATGCTCAGTGTTTTGCTGTTGAATAGTAATTTTTTAGCAAGTGTGGCTTTCGGAAATCATCTACTTGTAATAGAGTTGAAATTAAATGAGATTAAAAGATTAAAATGTCCATGTAATGAAGGAGATCTTACATTTTTTTGTAATTTTCAACTACCAACTGGAGCAGGTTTTTGAATATTAAATGACACGTTTAGCAATCAGTAATTAACTGAATTAAAACTGAAATTTACACGTTCATGTACATTTATATCGATGTTCGTTGATAAGTCAGCTGATTTCAATTGAATTTCTCACAGTTTTTTAAAAACACAGATGTCTGTATTTTTTTAGACTTAGAAATCTCTATAATAGATTTTTAGCCGAAGGCTAGTTCATCTCTTACAGATGTTTGTAAAATTCAATGCAATACAATGCAAAACGATGGATTATTGCACATTTCACATAAGATTAAAGTTGTATTGTGTATGTTTCAACTAAGGCCAGGAAATACATTAATGTGGCAAAAGTAAATTTACAAAAATTTTGCTGTACATACCTCTATGCTTCTAGGTTTTTTACGACTTTCTATGTGGTACCATAATATTTTTTAATGCTTTATTATAGGGATTTTTAGCCGTAGGCTAGTTCATCTCTTTGGTATCATAACAGAAGATACGAAACGTACGTCCTCCTATCAAGTACTTCCCACTGATCAATTATAACCCATTTTACGGTACAACTTCAAAGCTGAATATGTTTTATACTCATGCAATGCCTCACTACTGAGTGTCAAAAGATTCTGCTTTCCTAAACAACCTTTGTTCAATGAATATAACAGTTTAATTAATGCTCTTACATCTCTGAAATTGTCCTTTATTATAACATCTGATGTTGGGTAGGAGGCCAAGCGATCCTTTGAGGAATAGAAAATTTAGCAGCTTTGCTGAAACTATTCTGTAAACATGACGCATTAATATTAACGAATAGCTCGCGAATTGATTCCTGTAAAAAGAATAATAGCTTGTACTCATATTATAATTCATATATATTAGTATGTTGCTTTGTTGAAAATAAATATTAGAGATTTAACACAAATTTTCAAACAACTGAAATGTAATCAATTCTAAATCAGAGCCTCTTACAACACTGCCATAAAACCGGTAAGAGCTTATCAATCCAGGTGGTAAATAAATTAAATTATGGTGAGCGTAAAAAGTGTAGTGAAAGGCAGGCTTGCTTCCACTCGTTTGATATAAAAATATATATTTTCGGAATTTTGGAATCATTAGATGTTATAATGATATTTTGTACTAGTTAGATACAAGAATAGGTTGAAAGTCAAGTGTTTGACACATAACACCTGTCAAATTTGCTTTTAGATAGTCACAATCAGCGATTTAACGACTCGCAAGCGCTCACTCCGAGGGAACGCTCACGAATCATAAACTCGCTGATTGTGACACTCTGAAAGCAAAATTGACAGGTTTCATTTGTCAGACACATGCTTTACAACAACCTCTTTTTTAAACTTACAAGTACGAAATATCATAACACCATCCAATGATGATCCGCTGGTGAAAGGTTGTATTCAGGGTTGCTTCCACTCCCTTGCTATAAACAAATGTTTTTCGGAATTATAAAATCATTAGATATTATAATAATATGTTGTTCTTGTAAGTTACAAAACGGGGTTGTAAAGTATTAGTTTGACTAAAAAAATCTGTCAATTTCGCTTTCAGAGCGTCACAATAAGCGATTTTATTATTCGTGAGCGTTCACTCAGAGTGAGCGCTCACGAATCTTTAAATCGACAATTGTTACTCTCTGAAAGTAATATGGACAGGTTTTATGAGTTAAACACATACTTCACAACCTCTTATTGTAACTTACAAGAAGTGATAATCATTTTAACGTCTAATGATCTCATAATTAAAAAAAAAATATTTTTTATAGCAAGTGAGTGGAAGCAACCATGGTTGTATTAGTTTGCAAGAGTAAAATTAAACGCACCGAGAAAAGCTAATCCAGCCGAATTATCAACAAAAGATTCTGAACGCTATATCTATCACTGCTAACTGTTACCATCTGCTGATTTGTACGCCAGGATTGTGAATGCTCTGAATATACTTACATTTAAGAATCATCATTCTTATTTTACTGTGTGTCATCGAACTCTATAGCGATTGAAAAGTTAGAAGCTACAGTATGTTTAACAAAATAGAGCAAACAAACATTTTATTATTAAAACATTGTATCTCTTTTTTATTTATTTTTTAACTCTTTATTTGTTCCAAATTTAAAATAAATTACATTTCATTTTTAACCTAGGTGCTCCAGTTACTGCAGTAACTTACCAGCCTTAATTGTTATGATATATAGCTAAGTGTTTTTACATTGTTCCTGTCTTGGCAATTCAGTATTTTAAACAGGGTTTTTTTTAAACCTGCATGTCAGTATAACAATTGATATCTTAAAACTAAAAACTAAAACTAAATCTTATCTAAGTATAAAGGGAATTAATCGTTGCAATTGAGGATTGCAACGATTTTTGCCTGAAATTATTAATTATTTTGTTGGACATTTGTTCTAAAGTCTCAACATTCGAAATCCTATGTACCTCGGTAGTACTGTACCAGGGAGGCAACTTCAAAATCATTTTCAGAACTTTGTTCTGAATCCTTTGAAGTGCTTTTTTCCTGGTAGTGCAACAACAAGACCATATTGGCACAGCGTAAAGCATGGCCGGTCTAAAAACTTGTTTAAATATTAGAAGTTTATTCGTCAGGCAAAGTTTGGATTTCCTGTTTATAAGAGGATACAAACATTTTATATATTTGTTACATTTGGCTTGAATGCCCTCAATGTGATCTTTAAAAGTTAATTTTTGGTCAAGTATTAATCCAAGATATTTCACTTGGTTTGACCAGGAAATTGGAACTCCGTTCATAGTGACTATGTGACTACTACTAGGTTTCAAAAACGAAGCTCTAGGCTTGTGTGGAAATATTATAAGTTGAGTTTTGGAAGCGTTGGGAGAAATCTTCCATTTTTGTAAATAAGAAGAGAAAATATCTAAACTTTTCTGCAGTCTGCTGCAAATAACACGAAGACTTCTTCCTTTAGCGGAAATGCCTGTGTCATCAGCGAACAAAGATTTGTGGCAACCCTGAGGCAAATCAGGGAGGTCCGAAGTGAAAATGTTATACAATATAGGCCCAAGAATGCTACCCTGAGGAACTCCTACTCTAACAGGTAGTCGATTAGATTTGGAATTTTGATAATTTACCTGCAGAGTTCTGTCAGTTAAATAATTTTGAACTAATTTCATAATGTAAAATGGAAAATTAAACTTTTTCAATTTAGCAATCAAACCTTCATGCCAAACACTGTCGAATGCTTTTTCTATGTCTAGAAGAGCAACTCCAGTTGAGTGGCCTTCAGATTTGTTTGAACGAATTAAATTGGTAACTCTTAAGAGTTGATGAGTAGTTGAATGCCCATGGCGAAATCCAAACTGCTCATCTGCAAAAATTGAGTTCGTATTGATGTGAAGCATCATTCTATTCATAATTATCTTTTCAAAAAGTTTACCTATTGAAGAAAGCAAACTTATTGGGCGGTAGCTAGAAGCTTCAGCTGGATTTTTATCCGGCTTCAAGATTGGAACAACTTTTGCATTTTTCGATTTATCAGGAAAGTATGCCAAATGGAAACGTCTGTTAAATAATTTTACCAAGAAATACAAGGTACTCTCTGGGAGTTTTTTTGATGAGGATATAGAAAATTCCATCATCACCTGGAGCTTTCATATTTTGAAACTTTTTAGTTATAGACCTTACTTCGTCCAAATCAGTCCCCCAGGAATCATCAAAAATATTTTTCCGAGAGAAAATATTCAGGAAATCCCGAGCAACCTGATTCTCAATAGGACTAGTAAGACCCAAACTGAAATTAAGGGAACTCTCGAATTGCTTAGCAAGTTTTTGAGCTTTTTCCAAA